AAGTAATTATTTTAGAATACGACGAGTTGAAGATGACATACAGAGATAAGTGCAAGGAGTTTTGTCATTACAAAGTATTTACTTATTTTTGCGGAATGTCTCTTCAGCCACATGCGCGAGGATATGTAATGTGTCTACCGCACAAAAGGTGCATTCTTCGAACCATGCTGTGCAGGAGCCTTTTACGGACGCAATATCGGCCACTGGTGGGGTCCTTCATCACACTTATGAATCGGACGGGCCTTATGTTTCCTCTTTCTCAAATCTACGTATGCAACTTTTTGTATAAAAAGTAGTTTTTTTCTAGCCCGCCAAACCAACATTTTGCTTCCAGCGGAATCGGTTACCTTAGAAGAAATTCTGCTTGACGTGGCTCTGAATGGAAGCTTAACTTTGACCCAGATTAACCTCCTTTTGAGCAGCCTTCGGCGTCTATATCCTAACTTACCGGTGGACGCTCGGAGCATTTTTGAAAACATCCCGTCGGTGTCCAGTGCGATTACTCAGAGGCGGCAGTTACATCCATATTGGTTTGTAGGACGTCAAACATGACGAGTTGCGCCAAACACATTCACCCCGTCCGTCGTTGCTAAAGTTGCAGCTCCATATAGCTGGAATGACCGTGATCCAAAGCTCGCACAGACGGCTGTGGCTAATCCTTGGAAGGCTGATAAATCCGCCAAGTGATGTGTTTTTAATTGGTCTTTACAGTGGATTATCGAAACCCATTAATGTGCATGAGTTCCTGCGGCCAGTGGTGGGTGAACTGAAGGATGTGTTACGCAAAGGTGTCTGCTTGAATGATAATGACGATGCTATAGATATCGTTCTGGGTTGCGTGATTGCCGATGCACCTGCACGAGCATACATTCGGCAGGTGAAACAACATTCCGGATATTTCGCATGCGAGAAATGCACAACTGGTAAGCAAAGCGTAAAGTTTGATAAACATTTGCAGGTTCGCACGTTGATGGTAGAATGACCTTCCCTACCGATCCCAAAAGCTCATTACGTAATGACATGGATTTTAGAACACGCAAACAACCGGAACATCACATCGGAGAATCGCCTTTCGAGGCCCTACGGATTGATATGATAAGTTGTTTCCCACTTGATTACATGCACACCTTGTGTCTGGGAGTAACACGGAAGTTAATAATGCTATGGCGCTGCGGCCCAACACGTGGAAACATACGATTGCCAGCAATATCCATCGACATTATCAACGACGACTTCGCATGTGTTCGGCTAACCTGACGTTGGAGTTTCCGCGCAGTGTCGCACGTTTGAGGACGTGGAACGATGGAAGGCAACGGAATTCAGACAGTTTCTTTTATATCTGGGTCCAGTGGTTTTGCGCGACGTGTTGCCCGAAGACCTGTACAATAATTTCGTTATGTTATCCGTCGCCGCATACATTCTGTGCTGCCGTAGGTGGTGTTCCCATTACCTTTCGCATGCGAAATCAGTATTGAATAGGGTGGTGCGTGACATCGCGAAGCTGTACGGTGAGAAGGAGGTGGTCTTTAACGTGCACTGTTTGGTGCATATGTGCCAGGATATCGGGCGCCTCGGACCCATGGATAACTTTTCCGCATTTCCGTTCGAATCGTTTCTACGACGTCTTCGAAAGCTCATAAATGGCCCGACGTCGGCGACGTCGCAAATTTTTCGTCGCGTAACGGAGAGAAGGTTAACGAATGTCACAGATGATGGCTGTTGTTTGGACGACACTGGATCGACCGTAGTTGTGCGTCGTGGTCGGCGACAAACCGGTTTCTTACATTTCGGTGCGCTGATTACGAATGCACATCCAGATAATGCTGTCATCGCACGTGGAAGACCTTCGGTAGTGCTGGGCCAGCGTTCTAATGAATTATGTGTGCAGCATTTCACACAGACTACGTCTCTGTTCGTAAAATGTTTGCCATCCACGGACCTACGTATTTTTAAATGTTGGGGTTCCTTAGCTCCACCGACATGGATTCCGTTGAGTGCAATCGGCTGCAAATGTCTTAGATTGCCGTGCGCGGAGTACACTGTATTTTACCCCATCGTTCACAGCTGGAGGCACAAGGATATCAAGAAACATGCGACGTAGGTAAGCTGTCTTAATTTATTATTTATTTGCTTCAGTTAACAGTCCGTTTTCTACTTCAAATCTGGGTGCGCAAAATCGTTGTACACCAGTAACGGCGTTGCGCCGTTACAGTTACGTTTTCAACACCATGGAATCCACTGCATACGCTGCTGCACCTGATATCGCAAATAAAAGTTTCTCCACCGAACACATTCACCTCTTCTAATAAGCTTGTGGAAATGCTGTGCTCTGAGTACATATATTTTAGATGTATCGCATGGTGGAATTTCAAGATTCTTCGGTTGCAGTGGTTCTGTCATCCTGGATGGTTAATAATGAAGAAGTTCTGTGGGGACGGTTATCATCAAAACAGTTACAGGATTTCCTGATGCACCGCCTGCCACCACCTGCGTCTGCTGTGACGTACAAAGTACGAATACACAGTTGTACAGGTGAGGCTACAGAACGATTTATTTGTACGCATTTTTAGATGATTACCTTGAAGCTAAAAAGTTGGAACAGAGCTTGCTAACATCAGCCGATTTACCATCTAGCGACGCAACGATTCCAATGCTGCGATGGGGGAAGCGAAAGATGTATGTTGTAGCTAGATAGTATATTATCCCAGCACTGTAAAAACGTTTCCTGACTGTGAGTCACCGCCACCCGCAACGCGGGGTACTGTTGAAGTCGTGAACTTGGATTTATCACCTCCACCTCCAAAGCTGTATTTGGAGGAGGAATTAAGCGACGGTTCTGAGAAAGAAAATGAACATCTATTAGCCTATCCCCATACATCCAGGTAAACAATGCATTTGTTTTTACACACTTAGTCCGATTCACCCAGACGTTTCTCAGCGTTCAGCTGTTAGCGGAACATCCTGTGACAGCGCACTGCTGTTGGAAATGAATGGTTGGTTCACAGCGTCTCCGTAACATTCACTTGCAGCCACATTGCGAAACGTAAATCGCGAAGTGATGAAACTGCGCGAACGAATGACAGCTGTAGAGTTGTCCTTGAACGCGCTGCATGCACTTCAGGCGCCAAGTTCCAGCAACGCGTGCCCATTTCCATTACCAATGGACACAATAGCGCAACTGTCATTTTTAAACAATGCACTGGAGAACGCTGAATTCATGAACAGCATGGTAAGTCTCATGCAATTTCACTTATTCGTAGGTGCACTATTTATCCAACGTAAGCGGCCGGACAATTTCAGAAAGTGTGCGGAACGTCATGCTTACTTGCATGACTAACAACTTGGTCAGACAAGTGAACTGGCGTGGCGTGCATGAGAAGTATAAGATAGCGAACACACCATTCGCGCGAGCGGTCCTGGGTATGTTACCTTATAAGCAACAATCATGTCCTCAACAGATTCCATTATGAGAAAAAACATACCAGGATGCACAGAGCCTGATATCGTTGACAAGTTGCGACGCTGGATACAAAGAATAAAAGAGCGTGAATCCTGGATACGGAAGGAAACAGAACGGTTATCACTGCAAGATTCCGCTTTGTAAATTATGTAATCCATATTACATTATGTTTTCGCGAACTGTGTTGTGTTCATGGCATGCAATGTGTGCGATCGCATTAACGTGCTTTCAGTGGTATTGGAAGGAAGGAGAATGCGCCTAGGCTTTACCCGTTACGGCTTGAAATCGGGGAAATGTGAGCATGCGAAGGGAGGCGCCACGTTATTTTTCTCCGCGAGCGCCCGATGAGTGACACAAGTTTTTGCCACTCGGGCGCCCATCGGGCGCTCGATCGGTCACCCATCGGACATCCAACGGGCGTTTATCGGACACTGGTGCTGAGTGGGATGGTTTTTTATACGGAAAAGTAGAACATCTGGGAAATGAAGTACCGAAATACTTGGAGTTAAGTACACCCCGCAAGTAATAGTAGCAACAAATCCAAAAAGGTAGGAATTACCAGAAATAAATGAGATTGCAAGTAGCATCGAAATGGAAAAAACGCTCCCTGATTCTAAGACTATGAAAGTAACACATCACATTGTGAGGAAAACAGGCAGGTTAATGTACGATTAAGTGAGTTTGCCGGATGGAGTAACCAGCAGACATATCACAGTATGTGCGATGGGCGTGGATGGTTGAATAGTACGGAATGGGAAACAAGTGAACACGTCGTGTCAGCCTTTTCAATGAGTGGGAGAAACTGATGGACGCGTAGATGCAAGTTTGCAAGCACGTCCTTTGCTAAACAAGGTGTCGTCACTGAAACTGCCTGAATGAACCACGTGTCTAATCAAAACCGCACTTGGGCAATGCTTGACTGCTGCATAAAAGTGGAATTGCGCGTTACTCCGTTAACCGACTAGAAGTTGGTCGGTCAAGTACAAAGCTCACGTCAACCGGTTTGGGAGCTATTCTTTAGGTTACAAAGCAACATTTCCTGCAATCAACCCGAAGAACTGTCCAACACGGCTTGGTTACCGTTTTGATCGTTTGGACGAGCGATCGTTTGACCCAATTGCATGCGTAAACAAATGGGGTGGAGTTGGCGCAGTTAAATTGATGTTACCACGTTTGACATAGAGGGCTGTATCTGCCCAAATTGTCTGACAGCCAGAGTAGTTAAAATGACTTACACTGAGCCAATGGCGTGGACAAGATGACCGAGTATTAGGCGCAGAACTGGCTCAACGTGGAGCAAAGTAAAGTACCATACACGAAGTCGAAACCTGGCCTCGACAAGCATTGTTCACTGTGCTTCGCCTCGGGCCCAAGCGTGTTTCACGTTCCCAACCCGATTTCGTTGATCTAGTCCATCAGATTACTAGAAAAGCTGTCGAACCAGTCTTGATCACCGTTTTGACCGTTGGAATGAGCCATCCTTTGAGGCAACTGCACTTGTCAAGGCATGTGGTGAGAGGACAGACGTAGGCGTCGATAGCAAGCCAGATAGAATTCGGGTGACCTACGCAGTATACTTAACCCACGTCCAACTCGTGGTCGTCGCTACTGCGTACCGACGTACTGCCGATGCCATCATCCCGTCTCATTAGTGAATGCGACTACTACTGACGGTGGATGATATCAGTCATGCTACGTCCCCTGGAATCGCAGTGGCCACACCAGTAAAAATGAAGATACACAAAGTCAAAATATAAACAGTTCACAGTTGAAGCAAACTGTGAAGGTGAAGGTGACTTTCGTCTGACTGGCTCTTCAACTTAAGGTAGATACACTGAACTCATCACTGTATGACTCATGCTTTCCAGTATAGCACTGGAGTTACATTGAGATGATCGACAATTCAAGCGAGATTAAGAGGTTTAGGAAAACACGACCAGCTCACCTTCGGATCCAATCGCAAGTGTCAGATATAGATCCTATGTCCAAGTCGTTGTCAAATGACAGTTACCTCGTTTCCAAAGAAGTACATGATGTAGGTTAACACACTGGGAGATCCGGATTTACAAGATGTGGCGATACGCACAGTGTAGTATAGAAATTTCGGTGTGATGGGTGCGAAGTTGGAGACCAGAGGTTCTTCATTCTACATAAGCAAAACAGCACAGAAATACTTGTTCCACACGAACTGATGGTGAATGATTCCAAGTTCATCAGAGCCCGAAGACACTGTTATATGCCGCGTCATGCGTAGTTCAACATGGCATTTCGGTTATTCAATACGCCCACAGGCTGAATGAGGCAAACAAAGAAGAAAAGTCGGGATCACAGTTGCGCGCCAATCGAACGCGTGTGCAACCGCTGCCGTCCACTCGTTTACATATACTTCGTGTTTGATCAACGTCGACTTGCTCTTGAGCGAGTATAAATATCCAAGTCATGTATAGCCGTTTTCGACGAAGTGACTTCAGGATAGACGACCAAACTGAAAAAAAACACGAAACCGAATATAAGCAATCAACCTTACTTGAGATCTATCTACGTGCGAGTATGGAAAACAACTTCACACTCAGTGCTAAGATGAACCAAAGAGAATGAACCATGGATGACAATGGTTATTTTGATCAGTCAGAGCAAAGTTCGACTATCCGTGACCCACTCATCTCACCACAATTCGGTTAAAGTCAGTTGAACAACTAGGATCTGGGACACGGAAGTGCGGTGGACCAAGTTGCCACAATAAATCGCCAGAAACACAATGAATAACCACGGTAAGAAAATGAGGTAGAACGCAGAGTGTAATCAAAATGGAAACAAAGAGGCGCGTTAAACTAATCGGAACGAAATGAGAATTACAAGTCAGATGCAAGAAACTGAATGCAGAAACGCCACTGACTGCACGGCTGCGCCGTCTGAATGGGTCGCTAACTACTGGTGTGGACCATACAGAGGCATTCATCCACGAAGACGACATTCATCAGCTTGGCCAAGCCTCAGTCAATTTCTTCAAGCCTTTAGCTAGTAACCTCATGCTTTCGCCCAAATAAGTGAAGTGACGAAGCGTAAAGTATGCCGAAGAAGACGGTTAACGGGCATACGGAGGGCATAACCTAGACAATGTAAGCGGTTAACATTCTTCACCTCAGTTGTTTGATGGTGATTTAAGCACCAATGCACAGTTATACATCTTAGCTCAAGGCAAGTTGAACATGACAATCAACAATCAAGCGGCAGCCATCTAAGCTGGATGAAGGCTATGATAGAAAGGAGGGCAGAGTAAGTAAATAATTGTTGCTGCGACGGCGCCGAAGTACATGATATTCAACTGAGGAACAGGATGACCTTAGAGAGTGTTGTGTTTCCGCTGACAGTACGGATAACCGATACGGCCACTTATCATTCAAAAACAGGGTAAAAAGCGAAGCTATTGCACTAAAGTCATCATAACCACTATGCTACACATCACCAAGTGGCGAGAAACATCGGCCATAGTGTCGCAACACAATCCCGTCGGATAGTAAGTAAAAGATGTTATAACAAATGATGTCATGCCATGCTCACCTGGCGTGTTCCTGTAGCGAGACGATCCGCGGTATGACGTTTGTCTGCGGGGCCACCGAAAACCTGATGGTGCCGGTCGTTGTGAGGCAGGATATCTCTGAAGACGGTCAGGGTTTCCAGTCATTCTTTCGGGTAGGACGCGTCTGGGTCGTGTGTTCCCTCTTAAAGCAAAACAGCCAGATGTAGGTGTACCTATCGCTGCGTCTATTTCTTCCAAATGGTCACCTGTTTCCAAGGCTGCGTCCAAACGGCGGGGAGGGTATCGCAGAAACTCCCTTTTAGTAGACGGCGTTTGAATGCCCTCTAGGAGTTGTACGAAGACCAGTTTTTCACATTCGTCTGCCGTTTCGTTCTCGTATGCGATATCGACCATACTCTGCAGCTCGCGAACGTATGTGCGGATGGTTTCCCACGGATATTGGTAACGTGCGTGGCATGCAGGTAGACCGGGGCTGGCTAGTAAGCGGCGCACGGCGGAAAAAGTCTCGGTTGTTACTTCGTTCTCCAAAAGTTTACTGTCGGCAACAATATCAAAGGCCTCTCCCGAGAGCAGGCCGGCGAGCACAGCTGTCTGTTGGTTGGCTGGGAAATGACGCAGATAAAACTGGACTTGCTTTTCCCACCTGGGGTACAGCATCCCCAAGGCAAAGCCTTCTGGCGGCGTGATAGATGGCATGCTGGTTGAAGAAGTTGGTGAAGTCGACATTTTCTGCAATGTCCGTGAAAACACATCGAGCGAAGCGGCGAGCTTTGACGTCGGGTCATTGGCATCAAAATTACTTTCGTCATCGGCTTTGTCGATTGTTTTCGACATTACCTTCATTGGACCAGTGACAGAGGACTCCTGATGAACGTGCCTCGGCAGGGTCGCCAAAATTGTAGTATACAAGCTCGGGAGAACTCCGGAGATTGGAACTGGAGATTCATTGAGCAACACGTAGCAAACTACAATAGAAGGAATAATGTCATAAAAAAAGAAGATAAACGTTACAGTCAATCTTTTTCTGCTTGCACACCTTCCGCTAAAGCGCACTATGAGGTTCCTGCAAGGCAAACGAGAGCGCAGCGCGAGCAGAGTGGCTGATTTTGGACATGAAAAATGGGACTGGAGGGACTATGTGTTCCGGTACACCAGGCTAACAGGTAATGCAATCAAAACTGGATTTGAAGATGTGTATAGGTCGCTTTGTGTTTAAGTATGTACAATAAAATGGTAGTTGGTAGGATTTAATAGTTGTAAATTGCGCTTTCGTTCATCTTGATTTCAAAAAATAGAAAAAATACAATACTCAGACAAGAGATATATGTACCACTTATCCAAGTTACTGCAAGCATAAACTTTACATACATTAAACAATTACATTACCATTTATTTGCTCCATAAAACAGCCGTTCACACTTCACTTTTATTTACCATTTGCCTGCTTTCGATAATGCCGTGAACTTCAACTACACTTGCAGTCATCACTTTAATTTATCATAACTGTTTCAAGAACCAAAAGCATAGAGCATCATTTACTATTTCCCACACCTTATTACCACAACAAATTAGAACATACCCTGCAGCCACTCAAACTAACTTGGATGTTACCAAGGAGAATGGTAGCGAAACACTTTCCCGCCATGACAAAAATTAGCCCTTCCCGCGTGAGCACCAGTTCAAAGTCAAGCAGCGCGCCATGACAGTTTCCGACCCACACTAAACAAGCACGCCGTGACCTTAAAACCATTCAGTCAGGGTAAGCATGCTCACGTAGTTTAAATGTGGTATAGAAATGTAATCGGTAAGGGCCAGTTAAGCGTAATTTCTATATACCTTTTAGTTAGGGAATGAAGGCAGTGTAAGTGGTTTGTTTACATGAATTTTTTAGCTTGTACATTTTAGCGCGTTTCGTGTCTTCGGCCATGCAGGATGATACCGCAGATTTTTGTTGCATGATAACTAGTGGTGACGAGGCAATGGAGGAGCTCCAACGCGATTTGATGCGGTTCCAAAGAGAAACTGCAAGTTCGCAGTCTGTGAGTACTACGCGGTAACTCGATATTTTGGCGTGCCATACTGATCGAGATTTTCAACTGAAATAACGTGGAAAACAGTGTTTGAATAAACACTTGAAACGAAATTTAACTATTGTCAAATTTTCTCTGATCCAAGATATGTTGGATCGATTAAAGTGGTACTGGCCAAAGCTTCTTCGGCGCTTACTGTTAATTTTTCCGGTTGTTCCCAGTTTTTAGCACGTTTTGCACCCTGTTTTGTTTTTTATTACGGTCGTTTTCCTACTGTATACGTGTTGTAATTCTACTTTCTTTTCCACATGAACATGGCTGTCTCTCTATACACCGAGACGGATGAACCTATGGGGTCCTCGTTTGATGAGTCTACTGCAGCTTGCGGACAGGTTAACTGTTCACAGCCAGTAACAGATGCATCTGGGGGTATGCAGTGTGGCGTCTGCTGCCGCTGGTATCACGAAAGCTGTACCGTCCTACAAGCTGACCAGTACAAAATGCTATCTTCTAACGTTCACTTTCTTTTCAGTTGTGCTGAAGGCTGCGCTCAAAGATCGACGCGCCCGGCCATCGCCGGTGCTAAACTTTCGGCGCTGGCTTCACGGTTGGCAGATGTTGAGTTGGCGATAGCTAAACTCGCCTCTATTGCGTCGCTCGATACAAAAATGGATTTGATTTTAAAACCCGTGAATATTTCGTTTGAAGACACTGCAGTAGACGCCAACATTGCTGACTATCCATCCACTGGAGTCTGTCACTCGGGCAAAAAGTCGCACATCCTACCGGCCAGTCTAGGTAGCATTGCTGCCTGTCCTTATGAGCCGATCAAAGTGAAGAAAAATAGGGTGCGGAAATACCGAAAGCGTTCTGCTAAACCCAGAGAATTAGTTGCCACGGCATCGAAAAAGATGCCGTGTTTGACAGTCGTAAAGTCGTCTGACGATTGTACTCAGAACTTTCTGAAGATGCTTAGCGTCTCGGCCGCCAGTGAACCAGCACGTTCTGACAAAGTGTTGGTAACTGCTCAATGCGATATAAAGTCAACGGCTCCTGCTCCAGTGAACCAGAAGTAGAAGCAGACTAGATCTGCTCGTACAACTTTTAAGGGGCCTGAAGCCCCATGAACTAGTAAGACGCCGGCAATAGAGCGGAAAGCCTACGCTACCGTTGCTTCGGCGTCTTTTGTGAAGACAGGGACAGTCCTACAGCCAGTGGTGAAAACTGTTGGTATAGGTGTCGACTACAAGGCACGTGATGTAAACACTCCCCGTTGTGCCGACTCTTTCACGGATAGTAGCGTTATATTCCGTAAAGTTAATGAATCTGCGGCCGCTTTCCCAAGGGAACGCATCTTGGATGACCTCAAGTGGCTCAAACTGTGTGTCAGCAAGCTACTTCTACTTGGCTTCCCTGGTGTCACTGTCAGAAAGCTGACCAGATTGGGGAACGTCCCTATCTCTACGCCAAATCCACTACCCCGATTACTTCGCGTGGTCCTTCCTATCCCGGAGGAACGCAAAGCATTACTGCGGTTTGCGTTCAAACTGAAGGGTAGTGGTGTCAACGTTCAGCCGGACCTACCACTGGCAGGTAGACTGAAGTTAAAGGAGGCTATCAAATACCTCAAAACTAGACGGGCGGCCGGTGAGCAAGGCCTCCGTCTGGTGGGTTTGCAAGTGGTCATCCGGAAGTGCCGGTGCAGACTTCCTTGCGGTAGTACTTAGCAACGTGCGTAGCCTAAGAAACAAGGTGCACGAGTTGGGTCTACTTGTAGACAAATCTAGTCCCGACCTACTTGCTTTCACTGAAACGTGGTTGTCTCCGGATATCACGGACGGTGAGGTATATTTACCTGGCTACGCGCTGCTTAGAACTGATCGCTCCGTTGGTCACCAAGGCGGAGGCGTTGTACCGTAGGTGAGCTGTAACTTAGATGCGTTGAGGACCTGCGCATTCCAGTTGTCGGATCAGACTGTTGAAGCCCTATCGGCAGTTTTGTGCTAGTCCTCTGCCCAGTTTACTTTTATAATGATTTACAGAAGTCCTGGCAGTTCTTCCAGGGGTTACTTGACTTTATTCGAACTCAGTCTGCGAATAAGTGTTTAGCTCTAGGGGATTTCAACCTCCCGGAAGAAGGTTGGGCCGATCTCTCTTGCAATCCGGCATTAGGAACATTCGGTACAGACTTCCTTTAACTGATTCTTCAAGTGCCTTTGCACTAGATCGTTGACTTTTCCACTAGGTTTATGGACAACCAAATACCATCTGCGTTGGATTTGGTTTTCGCTAAATCCCTGGGCTTCGTTACCGACGTTTCACACGGCGCACCTCTAGGGTCCAGCGATCACGCATGCATATCCTTTCGATGTGCTCTTTCAAGGCACCAAGATACCGCTGTTGAATTACTTCCGAATATTTGGCGGGCGGACTTTAGTGCAATGCGAACTAAGGCTTCAGTTCTGAACTGTGAGATCTCGATGGCCGACTCTGTCCAGTTAGCCTGGGATAAATTTAAGGTATACCTTTCGGAGGTTTCTACTCATGAGGACAAGAGGGTTAAGGGCACAGCCTCCATGGATAGATACACAGGAAAGTACCTACTCAAGAAACGGTCTAGATGCTGGCGAACCTACGAAGCAGCTCCATCAGTCAGCACCTATGATAGTTATCGAGAGATTAGAAATGAATGTAAGCAACACCTCAGAACTGCTCGTCTCTAGTACGAGCAGGGTTTGGCGAACTCGGCCGCAGCTAATCCCAAGAAGTTTTGGTTTACGTTAAAAGACACAGCGGGGCAAAACTGTCTATACCAGCGTTATTGCGAACACACGGGACCCGTGCGCAAACCGACTATGAAAAGGCTTGTATACTTAGTGATCAGTATACTGGGGTCTTTGCTCGGGAGACCTCTTTACCACAGATTGAATTGGATTCGAGAGTTCCAGAGAATTCTTGCTTAGCTGAATTCGGCATGACAGAGACTCAGGTCTTCGAGCTACTGCAAGGCATTAATCCCTCTAAAGATTCCAGTCCTGAATCAATTCATCCGAAGCTGTTGCATGAATTGACCACTGAGCTGAGTGGTCCGCTCACATGCGTGTTTTCAATATCACTGGGTAGCTGCAGCCCACCTTCGGAATGGAAGGAGGCAATAATCTGTCCAATATTTAAGGGCGGTGACAGCGCTCTACCCGCGAACTACCGGCCTGTCAGTTTGACAAGCGTAGTAGTCAAGTTGTTTAAAAAGCTGATAAGGGATTCAGTGGAGAACCACCTGAATAGATTCAACCTTCTCAGTGTTGTGTAACATGGATTCCGCAAGGGATTTTCATGTCAGACTAATCTACTTGTAGCTCGTGAAAGCTGGGCCGAAGCGGTAGACAGTGGCCACGCTGAAGACGTGCTATTCGTAGAATTTTCCAAAGTTTTGAGACTGTTTCACATCTCCGGCTCTCACTAAAATTGAGATCTTACGGGATATCTGGTCGCGCCCTTCAATGGGTGTCTGCCTTCCTTGGGGGAGTGAACAGTGAATACAGGGTAGGGCGTAACCTTTCGCTCAGGCAAGTTGTCCTTAGTGGCGTTCCGCAGGGCTCGGTATTGGGGCCATTGTTGTTCGCAATCTATGTAGATGACTTGCCGGGAGGGCTAGGGGTGTCATCACTAGTGTTTGCTGACGACCTTCAACTCTGGAATATTGTGGATATCCCGGGGGGTCCTGAGGCAATTCAGCGTGCCTTGGATAGGCTCTGGGAATGGTCTACCCAATGGTTGAGGTTCACAAATAGGGCCAACTGCTCTGTTCTCCGAATCGGAGCTGCAAATCCTCCCACTCGATACGTTGTCGGCGATGGTGAACTCCCTGTTTCCACTCAACAGGTTGATTTAGGAGTCGTACACGCATCAGCACTTTATTCTGGAGACAACTAGAAGAAGGCTGCTTGTCGAGGGTTTCGTATGATGTGGTTTGTCCGCCGCTCTTTCGGAATCTTAACGGCCAATTTGTTTGTGAAGCTATTTTCGGCATTCGTCCGACCCCAACTGGAGTATTGTGTTCAGGCCTGTCCACCATGTCT